AGTGTGCAGAGGTGTTATTAATTAGATGTGTTATAGTGTCAGTGTGAAGAGGTGTTATATATACAGGTATGATAGTGTCAGTGTGCAGAGGTGTTATTAATTACAAGTATGATAGTGTCAATGTGCAGACGTGTTATTAATTACAGGTGTAATAGTGTCAGTGTGTAGAGGTGTTATTAATTACGGGTGTTATAGTGTCATTGTGAAGAGATGTTATTAATTACAGGTGTTATAGTGTCAGTGTGAAGAGGTGTTATAAATACAGGTGTGATAGTGTCAGTGTGCAGAGGTGTTATTAATTACAAGTATGATAGTGTCAATGTGCAGACGTGTTATTAATTACAGGTGTAATAGTGTCAGTGTGCAGAGGTGTTATTAATTACAGGTGTTATAGTGTCATTGTGAAGAGATGTTATTAATTACAGGTGTTATAGCGTCAGTGTGCAGAGGTGTTATTAATTACAACTGTTATAGTGTCAGTGTGCAGAGATGTTATTAATACAGGTGTGATAGTGTTAGTGTGCAGAGATGTTATTAATTACAGGTGTTATAGTGTCAGTGTGAAGAGGTGTTATAAATACAGGTGTGATAGTGTCAGTGTGCAGAGATGTTATTAATACAGGTGTGATAGTGTCAGTGTGCAGAGATGTTATTAATTACAGGTGTGATAGTGTCAATGTGCAGACGTGTTATTAATTACAGGTGTAATAGTGTCAGTGTGCAGAGATGTTATTAATACAGGTGTGATAGTGTCAGTGTGCAGAGGTGTTATTAATTACAACTGTTATAGTGTCAGTGTGTAGAGATGTTTTAGGGAAATTTCGACTTTCGTATAGTTAGTTACAACACCAACAAGCCCTCATTATCCAATGGATATCTGTTAGATTCTGTGTGTGAAGGTCAGTTTATCTACGTGGAAGATGTGGGACAACAATGTATGTGTATACATTTTTAGATAGCACAATCTGTAATATTACACTGCAAATCCTGTGAATTCTGTTAAGTTCATTTAGAAACTGAGGCTAAACTATAAATTTGCTATAACCCAATTAATCTACACATTACAAGATAAATGTGAGTTGACTATAAAATCCCTAATTCATACATAAAATTATGACTGAAAAGTGAATATATCAAGTTTTTGAATCCGTGCAGTACAAAAATAAATTGAAAATTACAATAAAAAATCTGAATCGTTACATAGGAGAAGAAATTATTAAGAACGTAAATTTTCTGAATATCATTGTAAAAAAAATGCTAATTGATCTTACAATTTTTACAGAGAGAAAAGTATTGTAATCGTAATATTCTTGACTCTCTGCCACCCAGTAACTCAGCGGCAAGTCTTCAGGTTTACGACGCTAAAATTCAGGTTTCGATACCCGTTGTGGGCAACGTCCACTGTATAACCACAACCAACTAGCCAAACAAGCAATTTGACAAACTGGTCGATTCGTTTAAAATCCTTGGATATTTTTACCGAGGGAGACCTATGAAATATTATCTACCCAGTAATCTACTTACAGAATAATAATAATGTTACGACAGTGGAAGTCACGTGACGTGGTAACATGTCATGAGATTCTCGAATGATCTTGAATTGTCCTGGCAACTCTAGTCTGTTCCAGGCGCCCTCTTTTTTAGTATATAAGCCCGGCAAATAAAGCAGAAATATATAGATAGAGAGATTGAAGACAGAGATAATCGAGTCAAGCCGTAAGTAAAGTGTGTGAATCCCTGTGAATTATAGCGTGTTTTTATAAAAGTAGTTAAGTTAAACTGACTGTGGAAATTCTGTGTATTGCAAAGTTGTATCGAGAAAGAATAAACTAGTTTTTATTAAGAAAGGACTTGTATCGCTGAAGTTTCTCGGAAAGAATTTCTACGGGAAATTAACAAACAAGCAGATACGCAACAATAATAATGCTTTAGTCTCTACTACACCGATTAACATTATTTTAAATTGTTTTTAATTTTACAAAAATAAATAAATAAATAAGCATGCTACTTCTATAAAGAGCTGAAAAGAATTCTGTCTAATACTCTTGTATTTCGCTCTGTTTGTTTAGAATACTCCTACGTCTTCCTCTCTTTTCTACCAAAAAATCATGAAACATGATAACTGGGGTACTTGCAAATGTATGTACTCTAAAACATCTCAGTTTTCCTTCAGTTCTTCCTTTGTTTCATCTTAATTTTTCGTAAGTGTATAATTAATATTAACATTAGGCTTAGACACAGTTAAATAATAATAAAAGTAAGTGTACAATTAATATTAACGTTAGGCTTAGACACAGTTAAAGAATAATAAAAGTAAGTGTACAATTAATATTAACGTTAGACTTAGACACAGTTAAAGAATAATAAAAGTAAGTGTACAATTAATATTAACGTTAGGCTTAGACACAGTTAGAGAATAATGAAGGTGGGGGAATAGATCCAGCCACATACCCGTCTCATGTTTATAAGCGTTGCCTAGCAACAAGTTAAGTGACCATATGTTGTACGCGATGCATGAAGGCGTGAAGGTTTGGTGTAGAATACGAATAGAACGTACTATAGGCCACAGACCTGCCTCTCTTGTAAAATGTTGGTTCTTCAGTAGGTTATCTCACGCCAAGAAGCTAAGGTAGGCTTAAATCGGTTTTTTTATACGTAAAAAATCATGTGCTACAAAACGTTTTTTTTTTGTTTTTGTTTTTGGAAAAATATGCCAACTCTTAAAATGTACGCTGACTACTGAGTCGAGGTTGCTTTTTCATTATCTTTATTCAGTTATTATTCAACACATTTTTCTTCTCAACCAAGATTTCTTTACTAAATTTTTCGGTGATATATGTTATTCTAAAAAAAAATTAAAAACAAAAACAAACATGATTATGATATTCTAACTGTCGTAAAAATTATTCTATGAACACGTTAATACAGTATAAAGGAAAAGAATATAATAATTTTTTTCGCAGGTCAACCAAAAAGACCATTAAGTTTATGCTCTACAATCCTAACGATTATTTTCGAAATTAATTATATTTTCTCTTCAGTCAGTCAAAGTTTAAGTAGAATTAGTATTCAAATATGAAAAATGTTTATTTCAATTACATTAAGAAATAAGCTAAAATAGTTACTAAAACTTTTAAACTGGTTTTGGCTAATTTACGTCTAGAAATTACACCAGCTTATACCATTAGGAAAATCAACACGTAGTTAGGGTTACGGTCATATATTTGTCCATCAGAAAGAAAATTATTTAAATTGTTATTGTTTTTTTTTGTTTTTGTTTTCTGTGTGGTTTTACATAATAAATATGGTATTCGTGTTTGATATAGTTGCATCTTACAAGTTAATTTAATGTTATTACAGATTCTATAATTCGTATTTCTTATTTATGACAAAGCTACCAAGGCTGTCTGCTGTTGTCTCTAATTGTTCCCTACTGCCCAAAGGGAATATAGGTAGCCAGTCAGTAGCACCCTATCATCCATCATCCACGCTAAGAAATTGGCTGTTGGTCTTAAAACGCATTACAATTTAAAGTGCATTGAGGATATCGCATGGATTCTGGACCCGCATCGACAGCTCTGAAATCCATAGATCAACCACAGGGCCAATCCGCGCCCGCTGATTCTATGAAGTGTTTAAAACAAAGACAGCATAGATAAGATTGATGTACATTTATGTTTAATTTCGTATCAGCGAAATTCTTCATTTCTACCTACACCAGAAGGCAGTGTCGATGTATTCTTTAGTACAGGTTGTTATTGTGGTTGTGCCGAGCTGACATAGAATTAATACGGTATTTTAACTTTAATAAGACTTCACTTATCGTGGTATAACCTTTAATAAGACGTCACTTATCGTGGTATAACCTTTAATCAGACGTCACTTATCGTATAAGTGACGTCTTTTTAAAGGTTATACCCGTGGTGTAACCTTTAATAAGACGTCACTTATCGTGGTGTAACCTTTAATAAGACGTCACTTATCGTGGTATAACCTTTAATAAGACGTCACTTATCGTGGTGTAACCTTTAATAAGACGTCACTTATCGTGGTATAACCTTTAAAAAGACGTCACTTATCGTGGTATAACCTTTAATAAGACGTCACTTATCGTGGTATAACCTTTAATAAGACGTCACAAACAGCGATACTTGTTTCAATTTAACCTATTCATATACACACAACAATAACACGTGTGAAAGCAACATTTGCCCAGACTGTGTGTTTTTTATTATGTTAAAGTAGAGCAAGGACGTGTTTGGTATGGGAGGATAGCGCACACACACACACACACCTACACTGACATCGTACACGTACAGACTGTCGGCAGCCTCCCCTACATTATTGTTTTCATACACCAACAGAGACACCACGCGATCGACATTTTTCGTTGTTCCTTTGACGCCTGGCATGGCCATAGTGGTTAGGGCGCTCGACTCGCAAACTACGGGTCGCGGACTCAAATCCCATCACATGCTCGCTCTTTCAGCCGTGGGGGTGTTATAACGCGAAGGTCAATCTCAGTTATCGTTGTTAAAGAGTATCCCAAGAGTTGGCGGTGGGTGGTGTTGACTAGCTGCCTACCCTCTAGTCTATCACTTTGAAATTAAGGACGGCTAGTGCAGATAGTCCAGTCTCCAGGATATACAACGCTAAAATTAGGGGTTCAATTGCCTTCGGTGGACACAGCAGATAGCCCGATGTGGCTATGCTATAAAAAAAGCACACACGAGTATTACTGTAGGAATTACTATTGGGATTTCTAAATGAATTGGTGGTTTTAAAGTATTACAGAATAACTTGAATCACTTAGTAAGTTGGACAAGTATTTGATAAATGACCTTTAACTGTAGTTAGTGCGAAGTAATGCATTTGGATTATCATAATTAGTATCACACATTTAATATAGTTAAGAACCCATTCAGTAGCGTTTCAGAAAGAAATTGCTTTGTTGATAGCAGTGAAGTTAATAGAATTGTAGGGTGTATTTATAGACATGTTGATTAGAAGTCAGATAAAGTAATTATTTCTCAATACAAGTCACTAGTTAGGCCTCACTTAGAATATTATATATAGTTTGGTCTTTTAACTTAGAAAAAAAAGGAGTAGGGCTACTCGGAGGATTCCGTGGATGGAAGGGTTACCTCAGGGGAGGGCTACTCGGAGGATTCCGAGGATGGAAGGGTTACTTCATAAGAATATTTTAAGATCTCTTAACTTGTTTTCTACTGAGAAAAGAAGTGTAAGAGGTTATCTTATTGAAGTTTACAAGATTATCTGACTTGGTTGGATAAATGCTTTTGATCTCTATGTGATATATTCTGAAGATATTAAGACTAAAATACACGAGTCTGTCATTCGGAAAAGGTACGCTAGGCTCCAGTTTTATCTTTTTTTTGAATAAAGTGACTGACATATGGAATGAGTTGCTATCGGCAGTAGTATGACCACCATGTTACAGGTGTTTAAGAGAAGAATCAGAGATTTCCTGAAAAATAAAGAATGAGTTCAAATTGTTACTTTTCTCAAGAGTGGACGTTCGTTAAGGAGTGCTTCCAAGGGAAGCTGGGATCAAATGGTCCCTTTTTATTCGTACGCAATGTTATGTAAAGGTTACGAAACAACATACACTGTACATCAATATATCATTGTTGTTTGCTCATAAGTTTAATTTAATTAATATAGATGTTAAACCTGTCAGTTTTATGCAAATTTCGCGAAAGCTATAATGTAGTACATTTTTGGTGATTTTGATACAATTAGTTAAAAACCTGTTATTTGATTTTTCTGTATCTTCATCCAGGTATGTCATTATAAGTGATATAGTGGCAAGTTTGTTTATTTAAAGATGTAAACCGTGAAAAGAATGGCTCCTGTGTTGAATGATGGGACCTCTTGCCTTTGTAAGCTGTTCCGTATGCGGTCGTGAGTATGGATCACAGTCAATTAAATTTCACGAACCTAAGTGTCTAGAGAAGTGGAAGTCTGTAACCATGACTGGTCCGTCTAGCCCACAGAAAACACGTCTTCATTCTAGTATTCCTAGCATAGAGACGACCATCAGGTGGCGATGTGACACATGTAAGGTTATCCTTCCCTTGAATGTCAAGGCTAATCATTTGGCCGCCTGTATTAAGAACTTAAAAAGTTATTCAACAAATTTGGTGGAACGACCCCGCACACGGACGTTGGAGAGACCTACAGTGTTGGTTACTAACACCACAAGAAATCCGCGTCCTAAAACAGAAACGTTACCTAGACCAACTCTTAACATTCAACTTCCTATTGTCGACATTAGTAACATCAACTCACAGGAGTCCAGAGAATATGCTACGAAAACTGCCACTGTACATCGGAGAACGAAAAACCCCGGGGTTCGTCCAAACGGACGTACTGGGCGAAGCAAAAAGTCTAAACTTCCCATTGGATATTATCATATTGGAAGCAGAAAACCACAAGGTCAATCCAGAGCAGGTCTAGGGGCTAGTAGAGTGAAGCACCATCATTATTCTGTGTTTACAAGAACTGGCCATCATTCTTATGTTCCCATGCCCTGTCGAACTTGCCACAGAAACATAGCACCGGAGAAACTGCACAGTCACGGGAGTCACTCAAAATATGAACTTGGAACCATCATCAAAAATAAAGATCAAAAGTTGGAAGAAAAATTAAAAAATAGCCTCTCTCCAAAAAGGAATACGGACTTAAATCAACATAAAAGTTTCCAAAAATTAGACTCAAAACTTACTTCGTCGAAATATGTAGAAATCAAAACAGACAAAGCCAATGAAACAAACGAACAAACTAAAAGGGAACCACAGATTATTTGGTCATCTAGCTATCCTAAAAACAACCGAAATATTGGAGAAGGTGCTTCGCAAGTTGTCTCTTCATGTGACCGCAGTAAATACAACCGAAACAGTGGAGGCGATTCGACACCTGTCTCTTCATGTGACCACAGTAAAAACAACCGAAACAGTGGAGGGGATTCGACACCTGTCTCTTCTTGTGACCACAGTAAATACAACCGAAACAGTGGAGGCGATTCGAAACCTGTCTCTTCGTGTGACCACAGTAAAAACAACCGAAACAGTGGAGGCGATTCGATACCTGTCTCTTTATGTGACCACGGTAAATACAACAGAAACAGTGGAGGTGATTCGACACCTGTCTCTTCGTGTGACCACAGTAAAAACAACAGAAACAGTGGAGGTGGTTCGACACCTGTTTCTTCATCTGACGAAACAGTTCGCAAGAAATCATCAGTCGTTACTGATAGAAAAACAGTAAATAATGTGCCTAAAAGAGATGTCACTGACGTTACAAAAACCGAAACTTCAACTGGAAAGGCCGCCAGAGGGCTACGAACTATTCTGTGTTACATATGTGGGCGTGAATTTGGGACAAAGTCACTCCCAATTCATGAACCTCAGTGCGTAGAGGTGAGTATAATTTGTATGTGTTAGGGTTGTAAACAAAGTAAAAAAATATTTAACAGAGATAAAATTATAAAACCGAAAGACAAGTGGAGATGGGAAATCCAACACGTGGAAACTTTACGATTGATTCTCTTAAGCGTGTTTCATTAGCAAATGAGAAATGAATACTGAATATAACGAAATAGTAAATCTTGCATTAGTTTGATTATCTGTCTCTAATATATGTGTGTGTGTGCGTGTAGACTAAGAAACGTACACATGTCTACCCTACTACTTAACAGCATATATGTAGCGATCCTCTTCGAAGAACTGAGTTACTATTCAAGGTTAGGCGAATCATTGGTTGATCGATTAATTTTTCCAGGAATTTGTAGCTCTGCCACTAACGTACACGTGCTTCGATGTTTCTAAATCTGTATACTCGGACTGATCTTAAAGATTTTAGGTGGTTGAAACATTTATCTACACTATGGCTTCCTTCTAGTTATAAGTAGGTATATGTTTGCTGTCGATGTTCAACACAATTGATTGGTTAGGTGTTCTTGTTGTAAAGATTGTCTGTGCTATTCTTATTCTTCTATCCTCTTTACATATTAGAAGATACACGTTAACGTTGTTTTCTCTTTCCTGTATACTACGGAATTGACAATAAATCCGTATCTTTCAAAGCATGTCACTCTTACACTAAAACTTTTAAGAGGTAATATGAACACGGTTTCAAACATGACGTCTCCAACATCCTGAGAGGAGCCATGAACACAGAATCCGATGCCAGATTCGTGTTCAGTGATCCTAAAAACCTACTCCTTATGATGATCTGGCACCTCCTTCATAGGGGTTATGGCATATAGATAAGGATAACCCTGGGCTACCCCGAGTCCGCCTGCCAAGTTTGATCCTGCCAGTCTTAAAAATGTGTGAGGAATTCACTGACAAACAAACAAGATTAAATTCACAAACATACAACGTAAATTAGTTCTATCAATCTGAACTTCTAGGAATGTTGCTTCAATTGTTTCCTGCCGTAAGTGATTGTGTAAGGATGTTCCTTTAGTTGTTTCCTGCCGTAAGTGATTGTGTAAGGCATGTTCCTTTAGTTGTTTCCTGCCGTAAGTGATTGTGTAAGGCATGTTCCTTTAGTTGTTTCCTGCCGTAAGTGATTGTGTAAGGCATGTTCCTTCAATTGTTTCCTGCCGTAAGTGATTGTGTAAGGTATGTTTCTTTACTTGTTTCCTGCCCTAAGTGATCATGTAAGGTATGTTCCTTTACTTGTTTCCTGCCCTAAGTGATTGTCTAGACGTCTGCATACCTCTATTTATGTGATATATAAATGTATATTTCACTTTCGATCTACTTATTACCAATGTCTTTGTGCGCATGTTCACACTACTTTACCCTTCTAACCAGGCAGCTAATTACTTAAGCAGACCAGAAACTTCACGATTGTGGGTGTTTTTTAATTGAACAGGAGTGGGAAAAGGATGATTTTAAAATTGTAACGATGTGTAGGCTATTCATTAACCCCATCAATCACCGAAACTATACCTACAACCATTTTATTGCGTGTTGAAATCGGCTACTAGAAAAAAAAAGTCCCAAAAACCTCAACCTGCGACTCTCAAAAAATTCAAGCAACTTTAAAAAAAAATAAAAAGAAGCCAAATACCGCTTATGAAAAGCGGACTTGGTAACACTGGTCCTAAGTGTGGGACAACTTCACATGAAGCAGAGTTATTTATAAGTAACTGTGATTGGTCGACTGCAGAGAGAAGGCGAACTCTAAACGCAGTAGTCAAGTGTCGTCTATTGTGTATGTCATTTGTGATCTATAGGTTATGTGTAACCCTCTTTTAGTTTAAAAACTTAGTAAGCCAAACAGTTTTTAATGTGTTTTCAAAATAAAACTCATTTTAATCCATCTTTTATTTATTATATACATGGTTTTCTTATATTTATCTATTTTTATTCAAATATAATTTATTCTAATTAAATTCGACAACGATTGGCCATATTAATCCGTCTCCTGTCTCTTGAAAATTAAGGGGTTATTTTTGTTCAACTTAACAACACTCTATTTCTTCCCATCAGTAATAAGTTAGCACACTCGTCCTGAAGCACAGTGGGCCCCGCGAAGCTCTGTTATCTCAAACTTATTCATAAGAAAGCTAATTTAAATATCGTCTTTTTCAAATTTTTCGTGACGTCACTTTTAGGTACTTTATTGTTCTCCACTCTTCAAATGTCTATTCGGAACTTACAAAGGTTTAGTACAAAAAGAGAATAAATAGATACCTGACTTAAGATTAAAAGTATGTGTAGAAAAGTAGGTCAGTCATTTCTTTTATGTGGAATTCTTAGAAGTAACTCCACTTTAATGTGCAGATCAATATTCTAAAACGAACTTAATCTCAATAAAGGGGTCGTATTCTTTATTTCATCAGCCCGGCATGGCCAGGTGGTTAGGGCGCTCGACTCGCAATCGAATCCCCCTCACAGCAAACATACTCGCCCTTTCAGCGTGTGGGCGTTATAATGTGACAGTCAATCCCACTATTCGTTGGTAAAATAGTAGCCCAAGAGTTGGTGATGGGTGGTGATGACTAGCTACCTCCCCTCTAGTCTTACACTGCTAAATTAGGGACGGCTAGCGTAGATAGCCCTAGTGTAGCTTTGCGCGAAATTCAAAACAAACAAACTCTATTTTATAAAAATGTGAAACAATTAAATCGTGTTTATTTCTCCAATTTCTTGGTCATCAAAGTTAATTCGGAATACATTTCTTGCAAATAATTGGTTATTTTTAGAATTAATTTCTTCGACACATGAACGTATAATTTGCACCCCAGTGACACAGCGGCATGTCTGCGGACTTACAATGCTAGAAACCGGGTTTCAATACCCTTGTTGGGCAGACCATAGATAGAATAAACAAGCAAACATATAATTTATACCTGCGACAATAAAACTTATTTTTAAAAATAAAGCCAACAAATCTGAGTATTTCTGAAATAAACTTGGATAAAGTTGAGAGTACTGTTGCGTCAGCAGTCACATGACTACAGTGACGCAAC